GTTGTTTAATTTTTTTTTATAATTCTGTTTTGACCACTATTTTCATTTTTACATTGAGTAAAGGATTATTCAGTTGCTAGATTACACTATTTTGCGATTTTAAATATATTTAAAGAATGTTATTTGTGTACAGATAAATGTTGTTTTTATTTGACTTAACTTATTTGAATCTAGACTTTCTTTCTTATTTTTAGTTTAAAATTTTAGTCCATTGAACTCTCACAAAAGAATTGGTGGAATTTTTTTGATGAATAATCCGAAGTAAATAAATATCTATTTTTTAATTGAAAAATTCAAATATTTTGTGAGTAATAAAGGAGGTCTTAAATTTTAGGAGTTTGAAATATTTTATAGAGTTTGAAATGTAAACAATTGACATAATTTAATTTTCAGGTTAAAAGTCTTAGATCCTGTTAATGTAAATTACTATGATTAAGTTTGATTATAGAATTAATCTTCTATCGGAGTTTTCATGATGCATTAATTTTTTTGTGTGTTTATAATATTGATTCAGTACACTCAAGAGATCAAAGTGAATAGATGGAATTATATGGGGAAACCAAAAGATAAAGTGTTGAATACATTATTTGTTTTGTTTACAACAAAAGAAAATTATAAAATAATTGATATAAAATCATGTAAGTGTCGATTCATATGGTTTTTAACAATATCTACATAAATAGATTTCTATGGCTTCCTTTTCAGTTGCTTGCCTACTTCCAAAAAATGAAAATTTAATTATTTAATTATATTTCTAGTTACTTTTCATTTTTCGTAAACTAAATATAGTAATATGAAACATATTCTTCATAAACCTGAAATAATATTAGTATTTTGAGATTTATTTCTACTGATATTATTATTTATTCAAAAACTTTACAAAATCAGAACTAAATATCTCTTATATGTTAAAAAAGAAGCATTGTAATAAATTCGTTCATATCTGACACGTGTTGGTTTCCCAATCATTTGGCAATTAATGCGTTCACACAATAAATTTTTAAATTTATTATTTAATTTGTTTATATATTATTTTTAATTAATTCATTTGCCTACATTTTTAACCTTTGTATTAGTAAATTATAACTTTCTACGTGAAACTAATGAATAATATCTTTATTGTAAAAAAAAATTACAAATAACTAAGATTCACATCAACTAAAATGTTGCGATGAAAATGTTTATAGAAATTGAAAGTTTCGTACCTTGCCGAAGTTGGTCATGGTTGAGACTTCGGTAGAGAATAAGAACAAATACGGTGATTGATTATAAATTAAAAAAACTGAGATAAAAAACACCACACGTAAAATCAGATCTTTAGTTTAATCAAATATTAACATTTTTATAAAGTTTTCATATTAAACCAAGAATTAGAAACAAAATAAAATTGGTAGAAAAAAATCAGAAATCAAAAAATCTTTAAAAAAATCACAAAATAATTAAAAACATAATTCAGGTACCAAGTGAAGATATCACTTTGTACCATATATTATTTTAATTGTTTATGGGTATAATTTGATTTTATTCATATGAAAAAATGTTATTAATTTATAGGTTTGTTTTATTTTTACTTATTTTATTTAAGAATTTACTATCATGTGTTATCTTGGAAAAAAAATGTTTTAAATCTTAATTAACACTATATTCATATATTTATCATCACATTTATATACTTTTACATATACATACATGTACACATTGACAGAAGCATCTATATTACTAAATATTCACCACAAGTGAGAATTTTAATTCTTATTGAAGTTGAATTTTTTTAATTGTTTTCTTTCACTATTGCTCAAATTGTAGTGATATGTTTTGTGTTAATAATTTTATTTTCTTTTTTCTTCAAATATTATTTAGATTTTTTTTTTTTCATGTATTTAGAAATTATAATAGGAGACTATTAGTTTGACATAAAAAAGTCTAAAATTTATATAAAACGAAACCGAACAAATAACAATAGTTTTTGATTATCATCGAAAACAAATTAAAAACATCAAACATTTAAACCAAACAAACCAAAATAAATATAGATTTAGAATGATAGTTATATTATAGGACATTAATAGAACAATGTAAAACTAAACTAATATCTATTCTAAACAAACATAATATCATTTTTATGCAAAAATGATATTATGAACTAACGAGGAAACATGTTTCGTCGAAACACGTTCATCGTAAAGCCTTTTTCCTCGTAAGGTCCTAGCTAATTTACAAGGAAACTTTTTCTCGTAAACGTGTGGATAACTTTTCCTCGTAAGGTCCTCGTAGTGTTTCCTCGTAAAGTCATAGTAAATTATTTCCTCGTAAGCTCGTAGTAATACATTACGAGGAACTTACTAGAATACTTTACGAGGACATTACTTCGAATCCTTTACGAGGATTTTGCTTCGAATTATTTTTTTCCCTATTAAAAAATATTAATTATAAATATAAATAATATATTTAAAAAAATTAAAAAACCAAATTATAAATAAAAAATAAATAAATAACAAAATATTTTATAAATAACTAAATAATATACAATTAAGTTTTAAAATTCATAATATACAATTAAAAATAAATAAAAACTACAGATGGTGCTCATTAAATTGCCGAACGAAATCGTCCTGGCTCGTCAAATCCTCCTCTTCAAAGTTGGTTGCCGGCTGTGACTGTGATGGTGGAAGCTGTTGGTTGGAAGTCCTCCGCTTTCCCGTCTCTGACGCAACATCTCCGCCAATTGCGGGTTTCCAACCGCCAAAATGTCCAGGACATCGGTGAGAGAACTCACATGATCGGTGAGCGAACTCACATGAGACTGCGTCGCCTAAAACTTTGAGCGCAGCTGAGCATTGACATCGTGCTGTTCTGAGCATAAGACGATGTCATTGTGGAGACATCGTTAACGGAGCCAATTCCGACGATACGCCCCTTTTTCCTTAGGGTGAACCTCTAAATTGATCATTCAATAAGATTACATTATTTCATATTTGATATCTTTTAAAAAGGAAATAAAATCTGTTTATGTTTTATTATGTTTTTAAAAATAAAAATACACAAATAAATAAAAATAATAATAAAAACAAAAAACAATTATTTTTAAAGAAACTATTTTAATACTAAACCCTAAACTCTAATCATAAACTGTAAACCCATGGGTAAATCATAAACCTTTGAATAAATTTTAGACAAAATTCTTTTTAAAAAAATTATTTTAACACTAAAACATTAAACACTAAACTCTAATCCTAAACCGTTGGGTAAATCATAAACACTAAATTTTTAAAATACTATAAGATTTATCCAAATGTTTCTGATTTAGTATTAGATTTAGGGTTTAGTGTAAAAAAAAATTCTTTAAAAAGCATTATTTACGTTTTTATTAATTATTATTTTTTATTTATTTTTGTATTTTTATTTTTAAAAACAAAATATAACTTAACAAGATATTGTTTCATTTTGAAAATATATCAAATAGGAAATAATGCAATTCTATTGTAGGGGGTGAACCCAAGAATATGTCGTGTATTTGTGTCTAGTGTTTATGCTTTACATTTTTTTATTAATTTCAGTTCTAGTAGATTAATTTTCGTTTAAATGTTATCCAGATGTTTTATTTTAAATTTTAATCTGAATATATATAATTTGAATATATATATATATATACATATATAACCGATAATTTCTATTCAGATGTTTTAAGAATAATTGTATTTATTGATTGCTTTTGTACAACACATTTAAAACAGTTAGAACTCAAAATTTGTTGTTTTACAATTATTTTTAATTATATATATATAATGTAGTTATAGTTTACATATAATTTTGATAACTTTTGGTATGTGCAATTTAGATGAGCCGGATTTCCATATTTTAATTCTTTTAACAAAACATTTGATATGTTTTTATTTGATTTTCACAATGTAAAACATCCCATGAATTAAAAATGCCGATGACAATTTGGCTAAAAATATTTTAAAACGATTCAATATGACAAAAAAAAAGATTTATGTCAATAATAATAAAAGCATGGATTGAATATCATAGAATATCAATAAAAATAAAAGCATGGATTTAATTATGGCCTCTGCTATGCAGGACACATTGTATTTTTCAATATAAATATCTTATAAATATAGAAAAAAAACATTTAGATTTTAAGCATTTAAATGCTGTAAATATATTTTTCCTTAAATATAACATGTCTTAAATTTTATGAATGCTTAAGCATAAAAATAAATAAAATATTAAATATTTGATTAGGTAAGATTAATTTGTTAAAAATATTAAAAATAAAACATACACATTTTTACGGAAAATATATGTCAACATTTATACCTATTAAACACAATGTTATTATTTGTTCCAAATAAATACATTAACAAACAAACTTCACAATATGATCAACAAACAATACAAAAACAATACGTAATTTTAAGAGAAAAGAAAACACTTATATGAAACATGATAACAATAATGTTTAAACTCATGAAAAAAAAGTCAACAAAGTTTACATGGTGGACTGTAACAAATGATCGGTCCATCTCCTAGCATTAGTCGTAATGTATTACAATTTCGGGCTAGGCATTATGGTAAGTTTTCGAGCTAATCTACTCTGTAACACTAAGTACGTTCCTCTTGGGATCGACCATATTAGCCGATAGAGTTTTTAAAAAAAAATAAATAAAAAAATAAAAAAAGAAACTACAATCTGTCAAACAACCTAGAAAAATTGTATGAATATTTTCTGCTGTTTGTTTGCACAAAATAAAAGCCTTGTTAGTTGATGTGATTTCCAAAAAAAAAATTGTGGTTATTTATATAACTTCACAGATTGAGGCAGTGGTCATGTATGTATAACATACAGTAATAGAGATCATGGCAAACTATAGTTTTGAAATTTTTGATTTGTTTTCTATCGTTTGTTTTAAAAAAAAAACACAAAATATTTATTAAAATGTTTAGATGACTCATGTCACTTGGAGAATTGCCAACTAAATTCTGTTTTATATGATAAAAGATTAAATTTTTATAAAAATCAATGATTGAAAAGATGCTAACTCATTGTCAACACCATATCGGCTCAACTGCTTACCAAACCGGAGAATTCAGAATTTCCAACACATTCAATGATCACATATAAAGAAGACCAAAACAAATCCACGAATGCTAGGATGCATCTACAGGTGAGCAAAGTGGTAACAAAGGAACAAAATATTAAAATGCAGGTGAGTTATACTACTTGGATGGCAGTGATCTGATAGATAATCTCATTCGACCATATTTCTGTTGTCTTCTTCTACTTCAAGAAACTGCCTTAGGAGTTCAATTGTTTTACGGTAGAGATTCATATCGACTCCATCCACATTTCTCCCGGTTCGAGCCTGCAAGATAGCCTAGCAAAATGGTAGATAGCTTAATTATTAGATCTGCTGAGCTATCAAAGAAAATAATAGTACAATGGAAAGATAATCGGTTTGATACACAAAGTTGAGCCTGAAATGTTTAGCCGTGTCTACTTCAAACATAAACAAACAATATTTATGACTCCTTCCCATTGACTTTGAAAGGAGAAATTTTCAGCCTACCTGATGCTCATAAATATCAGGACATTCATAGTATAACTGTGAATTACATGTTCAGAGCTAAAGCCAAGATAACTAAACTTAGTGAGGATCTCTCAGTTTGCATTCACGAAAAGCGAAAACATTTTTAGGAAAGCAAAGTTGTTTAACAATGTTCATAATTTCAGTAAATGCCAAACCGGAAACACATGGATGGTGTAATGGAGACACTAAACAAAGTTAAAAAGAATCCACATGAAAACAAACCTCATTATTGGGCTCAATGTGAAGCTCTCCGATGAACTGGTAAAGAGAACCAACCCGGAAACTAACATCTCTTAAATATTGAGTGTTGATTTTGAGACTCTTGTCTCCATCTTCAATAACACCTATATCTGTTTCAACTGAATATGCTCTCAGCCTGGAGAGGACAAAAGCATCATCTTTAGACAATGCATTAGCAGCAAAGGCTTGCATTGGTAAAAGGATATCAAAATTTGTATGTTAGAAGAGAAAGGAAAAAGCTTACAATCCTGTAACTCTAAGGGAGAGAGCTTCCTTGAAAAAGGGGGAAGAAGGGTACAACTCTTGTAGAGTGATGGGAGCGCCAGATTCAATTTGAGAATTTGACATGGACCAACAAACACAAAACCAAACCTTCAAATATGTAAAAAATAGAATGTCATGTTTGAATTGAATATATATTATCTAAATATACGAGTGTTATCAAAGGTGGTTTTGATATAGAAGGAATAATGCAGTAGTTGAAGCAATGGGGGACTGCTTGAGAACAGATGAAAAATTAGACACAAAGTGAGTGAGTGTGTTGTGTTTCAGGAATTACAGTAACAGAGACAAGAAGAAAGTCATCGGAGGTGCAGAGAAAACGAATCGAAATTTAAGATAGAAAAACAGCCTTACCGGATACGCTAACTAGGGATTCAGACTGAGACAGTCACAGAGGATGAGGATGAGATACGGTGGTCGGAATCACACCGTAGATAGGCGACGAGGTGGAGTGTTACCGGAGAAGCTTCACGAATCGAAGAAAACAAAGTTTCTGGTTTGGTATGGTCAAGGTGGAGATTGTAAGTTTGACCAGACCAAAGCCAAGTCCAGAGATGGGCCTACAATTTTACAAGAAGAAAAAGAGAGATAATGGGTCGAAGCCCAATAACATAAGAAGACACTAAACGACATTAGATTAAATAACAATACCTCAAATCCTAAATTTTAAATAACATATAATTCATTTAATTTGTATATACCCCCAAACTATGTACAACATTCAAAATTATATAATAAGCAACAATTAACACAAAATTAAAAACAAGTCTTTTTATTTTAATTTTATTATTTTAAAGCTTTGTTAAATCCGTTTCTAAATCATATAACCACAAAATTCAAATACAAAATTTAAATTTAAATTTCAAAATTTAAATTATGTTATCAAATTATTTAAGATTTATATAATTTTATAATAACTATAAATAAAGAACAAGAAAATTGTATTGTTTTTTTTTGGAACCGTTGATTTATTTGAATTAAATGCCCAAATTATTTTGTATTTGTTTCTGATTGGACACATAATTCAACCTCCTCTCCGTGTTTGTTTCTTTCTTGCACACATCAATGGTCTCACCTCTCTCCACCTCTCTTCTCTTCGTCACTCAGATGGATCTCTTCTGCCCTAGCTTCGCCGATCCTTCTTTCTTGCTCTGAAGCAGCTATGCTCTCTCTCCATGGTCTTTATGGTGCTTGCTCCTCAATCGCATTTCACCTCCAGATCCACCGTCGTCACCGTGTAAGTCCCTCCACTTAAAGCTCGATCTCCCTCATCTCTTCGGGAACTTCCAGACCCTCCAGACGTTCTCCTCCTTGCTCCTCTACAGATCCTCGAACCTTCCGTCAATTCTCCGTTCGTATTATTTGGAGTGCGAGTTACTACTTGGTGTAGATTTTAGTCCAGTCTGACTTTCCAAATCGAGCCATGGTTTCTATTTGCAGGAACCTCTCTTCTCTTCTTCAAGTTTTCAGAAGGTGTCTTCTCTGTTTCTTCTTGGATGAGCATTGTCTTGTCTCTATCTTTTGTAGTGTTCTGATTCCAGTTTTATTCTTCTGTGTTTAGCTAAAGAAGGTGGATGGTGGTGATCTCAATGTCGACAATGGTGGCTGAGCGTGGTGGAGATGGAGATGGCAGAGGACTCTAGCAGTGATAGTAGAGATGAAGCTGGTGATGGAGATGGAATAGAGGAAGATGTCCAGAAGTAAGAGGCAAAGGAGGAAGGAGGCGGCAGCATAGAGATTAGGGTTTAGGGATAATTATGTTTAGATTTTGGTTTAGGGTTAATTAAATTTTGGTTAACATGTTGTGGTTTACTTTTTTTTTACCGCTGGTTTAATTTTGTAAAACTAATATTATTTGTAAATTATTTTAATTAATAAATATAAATTAAATTTTACTTTCAAATTTGATTTAATTCTAATGTTATAATTCAATTTTAATTTTATTCATAATTAAAATAAATAAATAAAATTAAT